GAAAGTCATACCAAGCAACCACAGACAGCAAGGGCTGCACTGGGCACGGGCACAGGTTTGGGAATCAGGGGGCTGGAAGGGAGACAGGCTGGAGAAGGCAGAGAGCAGGGGAGGTCGGGCACAGAGCAGGTCTGAGGAGGGGTCTGCACAGGCCCCGGCTGTCCTGTGTCCCGCTGTCCCAGGACCAGGATCTCCATAAGAGAGGCCGAGACACCCAGCACTCGGCCAGCTCACTCCTAGAGAGGACGGAGCCAGCCGCGTCCACACACGGGCTATTTTTGGAGCCGTGGTGTTTGGAGAGCCACCAGGCCAGAAATAGGACCTTGTGTCTCTGCCACCCCCAGCTCTCCCAGTGAAATCACCAAGAGGCAGGAGGCCCGGCCCACATTCCACGGAGCCTGTGTAACCACCAGCAGCCGACACCACCTTCCCCTCGGGTAGGGCCCAGGGGCCTGGCGCTTGCCTGTAAAAGGGGATTCTGGAAGGTGCAAGGCCAGGGAAAGAGAGCTTGAGTCAGAGCGAGCGGAAGAAAGAGAGCAGGGAACAGGGAGAACGCGTGCAAAAGGGCGGGAACAGCAGGCTGATGTCCAAGGCCGGGAGAGGAACCAAGGGGCAGGGCGGAGCGCCAGTGGGAGGGGCCACAGGACGAGGGCCAGGCTGAGACCACCGTGAGTCTGGGACAGTCACAAGCACTTGCTGGGGGCAGAGAGGGACCTCTTTCCCGTCTTTCCCCAGAATGGGAACTGGAAGTTTCCCCAGAAATCCAGGGCCCTGTAACTCATCGCTTATCTCTGAGCCTCCGGAAATTAGAGATCCTGCTGTTTCAACAGCTGGGACTTTTCTCTCCCCCTGACCCCTCACAGAAGAGGTCACGGTCTGGACAAGAGGACTGCGCTCAGGCGGCTTGGGGTTCGAGGTGAAAGAGAAAGTGACGGCTCCCTGGCGGGAGGCATCCTGGGCAGCTGCTAGGTGTGGGAAGGCCCTGAGCTGGGGCAGACGAGGCCATGTACACCCAGAGGAGAAGCGGTGACCTTGGTCAAGTCTGGGTTCTAGGTCGGCTTGGCAGCTCCAGCTCATCAGGGTTAAAGGCAGAATTGGCAAAGTCAAAATGCTGGCCTCGGCTTGCGCCGCAATTTCTCCTGCCTATATTTTTAAAAGATCTATTTATTTATTTATTTATTTTTGACAGGCAGAGTGGACAGTGAGAGAGACAGAGAGAAAGGCCTTCCTTTGCCATTGGTTCACCCTCCAATGGCCGCCGCGGCCGGCGTGCTGCGCTGATCCGAAGGCAGGAGCCAGGTGCTTCTCCTGGTCTCCCATGGGGTGCAGGGCCCAAGCACTTGGGCCATCCTCCGCTACACTCCCGGGCCACAGCAGAGAGCTGGCCTGGAAGAGGGGCAACCGGGACAGAATCCGGCACCCCAACCGGGACTAGAACCCGGTGTGCCGGCGCCGCAAGGCGGAGGATTAGCCTAGTGAGCCGCGGCGCCGGCCTAGGATTTATTTACTTGAAAGGCAAAGTTACAGAGAGAGAAGGAGAGACACACAGAGAGAAAGAGATCTTCCATCCACTGGTTTGCTCTCCAAATGCCCACAACAGCCAGGACTGGGCCTGGCTGAAGCTGGAAGCTTGAACTCCATGTGGGTCCTGCATGTGAGTGGCAGGAGCCCAAGTACCCGAGCCGTCACCTGCCGCCTCCCTGGGCACAGACAGGACTCAGAAGCCAGAGCCGGGACTTGAACTTGAGTACTGGGCTATGGAAGGCGGGCATCACAGCTCCTCGGTCAAATGCCCGGTCCAGGCCTCTGCTGCTCTTAAGCGCTCACTGTGCGCCTCCAAGTCCCCTCTACAGGACACAGGGCTCCTCAGCTCTCTCACACTGAGAACGGAGAACCTGTACAGGAACGGCATCACAGTCGAGTACCAGGTCTGTGCGTGGGCCCTGAACCGGCCCCAGCAAGGCCCAGGCTGTCCACAGAAGACAGCTTTCTACACCAGGGCCTGCCGAGGCGTGGAAACAACAGGGTTACAGGGCGGCTGCCTGTAGGGGCCACGACCAGGGCCATCAGGAGCCACTGCTCTTCCAGGCACTCCCAGGTCCCTGTGCCCCACTGGCCCCCGCGCAGGGAAGGAGAGGCCTTGCGGGTGTTTCTGGGGGCAGGAGCTGAGCTGGGGGCTGGACTCTGTCCTTGATCCTCTTCCTCATGGCTAATCCCACTCTCGGGGAAGGGGAAGACACAACGCAGGGCAGAAAAAAGACAGGCCCCAGGCAGCCGTGGTGTCCATGATCCCAACTTTCCGAGGAGGTTTCCCTGTCTTTCCCTGCCATGCCCCTTCCCGCCCACACCTGGGAAAACAAAGCCTGAGGCAGCGGTCAAAAAAAAAAGAGAGAAAGCTGTGGGGCCGCGGTTGCCCTTAGTATCTGTTTACTGAACAAATCCAAAACAAACATCCCGACACCACCACCCACTTATGCTTCCTGTGACTGCTCCATGTCTCCATGGATACTCCCTGTAGAGCCCCATCACCTACACAAAGCACAGATGTGAGAACCCCCACCCAGGTCAAGTGCGTCCTGTCCCATCCCCCACGGGATGCCTTCTGGCACTCGGCTCCCTCCGCAACCCCAGGCCAGCGCCTGATCCCGCCAACCCCCCAAACTCCCCAGTCTGCTCCTGCGTGCTCCTGCTAGCCAGCGTCCGCCCCCTCTCTTCCCTTATCCCAGTGCCCTGAAATCACACCCACAAACCCACCAGCGATGGACCCTGTCCTCCCAGCCTCCTCCTGCGAGTGTCTGGTGCCACTGCAGGATGTCACTGCGGGCAGCTCGGAGAAACCAAACTCACTCACCTCGCCTGCCAAGGCTTGACCACGCCAAACCCAACCCCCGCCGCCCTCTCAGCTGCTGCTGCCCCGCCCAGCACACCTCAAACCCCAGCCCGACTTGGCTGTGGACAATGAGAGCCCTTGGGGTGCCCGGAGAGCCTGGACACCATGTGCCGGGCTCCAGCCACACACCTCCAGAGGCAGGCCGCCAGTCGGGCACATGGTGGGGCCCAGCCAAAGACCAGGAGCTCTCTGTTGGGCCCACAGCCAAGACAATCAAAACTCAGACGAGCACACAGTACACTCCGTGCCCTCTGGCCACTGGCGGAGGCCCAGGGCGGGAAGCTGTGTTTTCCTGGAGGTTGGCTGGGACACAGCACCGGCTGGGCTGGTGCAGGAAAGCCTGCAGGCTGGCTAGTGTCATGGACAGCACCACAGTGACCTGTTTCTCCAGGTGGGAAAGGAGGGGGAAAGTGAGCGCTTTACCCCCAGCTGAGCACTAGGGAATGTCACCCTGAGCTCTGTGTTCTTGGCTGCCTGCCACTGTCGGGGGGGGGGGGGTTGCCCCAGCAGGACGCCCAAAGACAGGCAGAGGCCAGATCCAGGGATGACCTTGAACCCGGCCAATCCGGGCTTTGCTCGGTGGCTCCCGGGGCCTCTTGCACACGTACACACACAGAGCAGCACGCACACACAGCGGCCTCCACACGTCAGGGGTGGGTGGTGCCTGGGGTGGGGGGTGGGGGCCGGCCGCCTGCTTGGACACTTGCAGAGGCAGTGTGTGGGCGGGGCTGGAGCATGAGTTCATCTACTTCCTGCCTACATCTGGTATAAAAGGAGGCAGCAGCCCGAGGAGCAGCACAGCTGGGACTGGCCTAGAGTGCGATCCGGGCTGAGCCACACACCCCTTCTCTGGCCACAGCACTGCCAGGACTCCCGGAGGCAGTCAGCCACAAAAGCTGCAGAACCCGCCCATCACAGGCGCCCCGGAGAACTTCAGGTAGGTGAACAGCAAACTCTCTCCATCTCGCCCGCCAGCTGGAGACAGAACGCTCCCTTCCCCAGCATCGCCGTCCACAAGCCCCACTTTCCCTCCTTCCTCTCCCCACAGCCCTGCAGCCTTGGGGGGGATCCTGCACAGCAAGGCCCGTAAGAGGGCAGGCAGGGGGCCAGGCCCCACGGGCAGCCCCACCACCCAGGACCCAGGACTGACTTTCTCTGATTCCCACCTTTCCCACCTCGGGCAAAGGCTTTTTCAAGCCTGCTGGTCGGAATGGGCTCTAAGACTATCGGAAATCTTCACGCAAATCCAAGAGGTTGTTAGAATTCAGTCTCCCTGCTCCTCCCAGGGAAAGGGGGATATCCCGGAGTGGGTCCCAAGGTTGCCACCGGTGGAGACGGGCTTGGGACTCCTTGGGGCTGACCAGTGATAAGAATCAGTATGAGATGGAGTGGGCAGTGGCTTCTGGACCTGCTGAGCCTGATGTCAGGGCTGCTCTCCTGGTGCACAGCCAGGGCGCCCTGTCCCTCCCCACTCGCCATTCCTCTGGAACTGTTCCTACATCAGACCCTTTTCTGCTTGCCCTAGGATGCAGATGTCCCCAGCGCTTGCCTGCCTGGCCCTGGGCCTGGCCCTCGTCTCTGCTGGAGGCTCCGCCTCATACCCTCACCAGCCCCAGGTGGCAGAACTGGCGGCAGACTTTGGGGTGAAAGTGTTCCAGCAGGTGGTGCAGGCCTCTAAGGACCGCAATGTGGTTTTCTCCCCCTATGGGGTGGCCTCGGTGCTGGCCATGCTGCAGCTGACCACGGCGGGAGAAACCCAGCAGCAGATCCAAGCGGCGATGAGATTCAAGATAGATGGTGAGAGACGGGGCAGAGCGGGAGGTGGGGAGTAATGGGGTCTTCACAGAACCAGCTGGAAGCTGGGGGAAGGCTGACTCCAGTTCAGCCAAGTGATCCCATGCACCTGCAGCAGGGGCCACCCCATCTTGTTCCCACCACACCCTGAGTTACCCTTGCCACTGATCTCCCCAGTGGACCGGCCGATGGCTCTGCCACCAACTACCTGTGCGACCTTAACTCCACTAAGGCTTCATTTCTCATCTTCAGAATGGGGATAGTACACACACCTACTGGACAGAGCTGCTGTACAAATGAGATAGAGTGATGCATATGAGAGGCTCAGCACAGCTGTTATTGTAGGGGAAAATTTAGGGCCCATAACTTAAGAACTGAGAAAAATATTCAACCCCAAGAAAGGGTCAGGAGTTGAGCTCCAGAAGAGATTAAGTGATGAGATGAGTCCGGGGTCAGAAGCGCTCTGTCCAGGACTGCGTCTCTCGGGGGGAGACGGCTCTGCCGGGAGCCCCTGGATTAGTATGAGCCTAATGTGTCCTGTCCTCCTTGCCTCGGCACAGAGCAGAGCACGGCCCCCGCCCTCCGCCACCTGCACAAGGAGCTCATGGGGCCCTGGAACAAGGATGAGATCAGTACCACGGATGCCATCTTCGTGCAGCGCGACCTGAAGCTGGTCCAGGGCTTCATGCCCCACTTCTTCAGATTGTTCCGAACCACGGTCAAGCAGGTGGACTTTTCCGATGTGCAGAGGGCCAGGTTCATCATCAATGACTGGGTGGAGAGACACACGAAAGGTGAGCACGCTGTGGGAGGCGGTTGGCTCCCCAGGGTCTGCAGGTGAAGGGACTTTGCAAACACCCACGTCCCAGACTCTCGTCTTCTGCCTCTCTTCTCTGTGGAAGGCCAAGTGCTTTAAGAACCCAAGGGTCCTTGGCCATGTCGGTCATCGCTAGGCTTTCTCATGAACCAACTCGGAGGCCATCGCCAAAAAGCGTTCTCAGGTTGTTTTAAAGATTCATGTACTTATTTGAAAGGCAGAGTTACAGACAGAGGGAAGTACAGAGATATTCTATCCATTGGTTCATGCCCTTAATGGCCACAATGGCCAAGACAGCCAGGCTGAAGTCAGGATCCTGGAACTCCATCCCAGTCTCCCACGTGGGTGGCAGTGGTATCAGGACTTGGGCCATCTTCTGCTGCTTTCCCAGGTGCATTAGCAGAGAGTTGGATAGGGTGTGGAGCAGCCGGGACTTGAACTTGGCACCCATATGGGATGCCAGTTTTACAGGCAGCGGCTTAGCCAGCTATGCCATAGCACCAGCCCCAGATTTAATAAGAATAGCAATAAGCAGGACGGGGAACACACAAGAGCCTTCAAGAATGCAGCTTAAGGGTCCAGCGCTATAGCATGATGGGTAAAACCTCCGCCTGTGGCGCCAGCATCCCATATGGGCACCAGTTCAAGTCCCGGCTGCTCCACTTCCAATCCAGCTCTCTGCTATGGCCTGGGAAAGCAGTGAAACTTGGCCCGAGTACTTGGGCCCCTACACCCACATGAGAAACCTGCAAGAAGCTTCTGGCTTCAGATCAGCCCAGTGGCCAACTGGGGAGTGAACCAGCAGATGGAAGACCTTTCCCTCTCTCTGTCTGTAACTCTACCTCTCAAATAAAATCTTAAAAAAAAAAAAAAAAAAAAAAGAATGCAGTTTAAGGGGGCAAAGGAAGGGAAGACTTGAGTTTCCATCTCTGACCCTGGACAGGCTCCCGGGACCCAGGGGGTGCAGTCAGCTGGAAGATGTCCAGAGGCCTGTGGGGAGACAGATCAGGTGGAGTCAGCTAGCCTGATTCATTTCGCCCCTGCTGGGTCCCTCCAGTCCACATCCCTTTGAGAACTCACAGCTGGAGGGAACCACCCAAGAGGCTGAAACACACCCAGCTTCCCCTCACCCGGCTCTCCCGCAGGCATGATCAGCGACTTGCTTGGCGAAGGGGCCATGGACCAACTGACACGCCTGCTGCTGGTGAATGCCCTCTACTTCAACGGCCAGTGGAAGACGCCCTTCTCCAAGTCTGGCACCCACCACCGCCTCTTCCACAAGTCGGACGGCAGCACCATCTCTGTGCCCATGATGGCGCAGACCAACAAGTTCAACTACAGTAAGCACCAGACCTCCCCTCCCCACATCCCGAGGCTGCACCTCAGACCCAGGGTCTCCCAAGGAACAATTGTAAAGGTTGCCTTTGGGGAGGGAAGACCCCAGCGAGTATTCCTCTCTAAGGAAGGAGCAACCCTAAAAGCACCCCAATTTAGCAAAGATTTCCCAAGAGGGAGACCCCAACAATGGGAACAGAAGCACGGAGCTTTATCTTCCCCCATGCCCACCTCTGACCACTGGACCCTGCCCAGCATCTTCCAGCCATGACCTGGGACCAACCAATCCCCAGGACTGTGTGGAAGTTGAGATCAAGGGGAAAAGAGAAGGCTCTGAATTGGCAGAGGGGACGGAAAATGAACGTAGGAACCCTGGAGAGGGAGGGCAGGCCCCCCAAAAGGGGCTTCCAGAAAGAGAAGCAGCTGAAGACCCCGTGCAGGGGATAGAATCCGGCCGTTCCCCATGCACCATCTCGGTCTTCGCAGCTGAGTTCCTCACCCCCGACGGCCACTACTACGACATCTTGGAGCTGCCCTACCATGGGGAAACCCTCAGCATGTTCATCGCCGCCCCCTATGAGAAACAGGTGCCTCTCTCTGCTCTCACCAACATCCTGAGTGCCCAGCTCATCAGCCAATGGAAAGGCAACATGACCAGAGTGACCCGCCTGCTGGTTCTGCCCAAGTAAGCCACACGCGCCAGCGCCCTCTGCCGCTTCCCTCTCTCCCGGCTCCCTGACATCAATCATTGCCCTGGGGTTGTTTCTCAGACTTCCCGATGCCTGCCAGGCAGGGATGTGTGTGGGAGGCTGATGGGAAGCACTCAGGCCTGGGTTTGATTAAGAGAACTCTCGTCATCCCTCCGGGGGTGAGAGGCGGGGGGTGGGGTGGGGGTGGTGGGGTGGTTTCTAGACCGACCACCCCAAAACCCCCCCATAAAAGCCAGCAGGAAGAAGAGCCATAGCAGTCTTGCAGGGGAAGAAGGCAAACTGGTCCACACCCATTCATGTGCGCCTCCCCCTCCCCCTCCCCCTCCCCTCGTCATCATCCAGACGCCGGCCAGGGGAGGAATCCCTTCCCAGATGCAGTTCTAGCTGGGGCTGCAACAAGGCAGATCTGAAAAATCTGCAAAAGCAAAGGGAGTGGAGAGGGCTGAGGTTGGGTAATTCCAGGATTGCAGGCGAGCTCCCATCTACGCTTACCCCAAATCTGCAGAAGCTGCAAAGCCAGGCTTGGGGGAAGATGAGAAGCGAGGTGGTTGACTGCCGTGCCCCCCCGCCCCACACCCCGTAAAGATGGAGGCAATTAGCTGTGCCCTGGTAGGAGGCAGCGAGTGCTCCGAGCCTCACTGCTTGAGCCCTCTTCAGAGTTAGCTCTCAGAGCCACAGTCTACGGCCCAGTACTCGCTCAGACTTCCTGGCAGGAGAATTTGCCCTTGGCACCCCAGCCAGACTGCATAAAATTATGCTGACATGACTGCCTTCTTTGAGGAATGCAATTAGCCAGAGGCTTGAGGGGGTGGGGAGATTGCAGACAAATGTTTATGAATTTCAGAAACTTCCAGCAAGGGGCACTTTGCAAACAGATTTCTCCTCCAACGCTCACATCCGTTTCCTGTCCTGTCGGCCTGCCCCGGGGTGGGCACCCAGGAGGGGCCTGGGAGAGGCAGGTGCTGAGCCTGAGACGTGTCTCCTGCTGCCCTCTGCAGGTTCTCCCTGGAGAGTGAAGTGGACCTCAGGGCACCCCTGGAGAACCTGGGGATGACCGACATGTTCAGGCCGGGGCAGGCGGACTTCTCGAATCTGTCAGGTGAGAGATTTCTCCTCTCCGTTTCCACATCCCAGTGGCCTTGCGGGGCCCCAAAGGGGACAGAGGAGGGTATCTCAGGAGCAGGGCTTGACCAACCCTCGTATCCACCTCTGTTGCAGACCAAGAGCTTCTCCACGTGTCCCGGGCACTGCAGAAAGTAAAGATCGAGGTGAATGAGAGTGGCACCATGGCGTCCTCCTCCACAGGTGAGTTTGCTCGGGGGAGGCTCCCTGGGGCGCAGCTTGGGGCCACCAGGAGGGGCCGGTGTGCCTCCAGCTTCTATAGGACAGTTCAGCCCAAAGCTGGCACGGACCTCGCCGCCCTGCACCACGCGGGCCTCTGTCCCAGAACCGTTATCCTTCCTGGGCCACGAACGAGGGCTCTGCCAGCCTCTTCCCCACCTGTTCCTTGGCCTGAGTGTGAAAAGGCTTCCCCAGAGAGAGCCCTGTGTTGCTCCCACGGTGGGCAGTGGACTTGAACTTGCTTATCAACAGACCCCCAACAGGGCTTAGGCAAAAGCAGAGTTTGTGAGTGACCAGGTGAGAGGTCTCCAGCAAACCCTGAAGGTGTTGGACGTTGGTCAGGGAGATGTCCCTGAGAAGAGTCAAACAGGCCTCCCGAAGGTGCCCTCCCACAAGGATGGCCGTGGTCGCCGCACCCTCTCCCCGATCCATCCAGGCCCCACCGCCCACGTCCCCCGGCCTCACACACTGTCGCTTCTCTTCCAGTCATCCTCGTCTCAGCCCGCATGGCCCCCGAGGAGATCATCATGGACAGACCTTTCCTCTTTGTGGTCCGGCACAACCCCACAGGTGAGCCTGGACCCCACGATGTCCCCAACCCCTGCCCATCCTCCATGTCTCAGGCACCAGGCAGAGACACCCCTCCTACTCCCAGAGGACTCTGGGTAGGGAACCCCAGCACAGTCCCACCTCCCAGTCCTGGCTCAGCCACACAGGCAGCTGTGACTCCAGACGCCACCCCCCACCCGCCACCCCCAGAACTGGGTTCACGCACAAACACGGAGCTTCCACCGCCTAACGCCCACACCTTCCATCCACAGGTACCATCCTTTTCCTGGGCCAGGTGATGGAACTCTGATGGGGCCAGAAGCCCTCGGCTGGGACAGCACTGGGAAAGACTCACCGGCGCTAAGACTGTTTGCTCGAAGGACCCTTTCTGGGAAAAGAGGAGACGCGTGCCCTGCCTTCAAAAACACTAAACCTTTCCCGTTTGCCTCCAGGACCTGAGCTCCCTATCAGCAGCCTGGGAGCTGGCCCAAGGCCTGGGTCCCCGACCGTCTCCATGGAGACCTGCAGGAGCAGGTGCAATGGCCCAGCTCTGCCTGGTGCAGGTGTCAGGCCCGGCGCTGGCTCCTCCTGCAGCCCGGGGAAGGCTGGGACCCTGAGGCTTAAGGCGGCAGAGTGATTTGTGTTCCGGTCACACTGCTGTCACTCTCCTGTTGTCTGCCACTGCCGCGGAGGCTGGCGACAGCCCAGAGAAGGCCGAGAGGAGAGCCACCCTTTCATCTCAAGCTCCACTCTGCTGCTGGCCACCTGCCCAGCTCGGAGGGGCTGCGGACTGGCAGGGACAACGCCCACACCTTCTGCCACCCCCACGCCACCCCCGGCCCCCCGAGCAGGGCCGTGTCCCTCCCCCAGAAACGGTGTGCATACAACTATTTTGGAGTGTAGGTGACTTGTTTACTTGTAGAAGCAGGTTTCTGCTTCCCACAACCCGACTGTGCAGGAGGAGAGGAAGTGAGGCCAGATGTGTGCCTGGCTCTTGGTCCCCGGCCTCCTGCTGGGGTTGGGGGGTGCCTGGGATGCCAGGGGCGTGCTTGACTATTTATCGTATGCCTACCCTTGTGTGCTTGCGGAAGAGAGAGAGGACTATTCTTGAAAAATGTATCATTGAAATGTCTGCTTCGGGCTCCCTTAGGGTCTGCGGTCTGTGGCCTTCCTCTCAGGGGTCCGACTGCTGTGGGCTGTCACAGCCCGCTGGGCGAGGAGCGTGATGGGGGCCACACTGCCACCTTGTGGCTGCCGGAATCCCAGCACGCCGCCTCCCTTTTTCCTTGGCTGCTCACTTGATGGCATGGCCCGGCGGCCCCCTCCCCGGGGGGCCACGATGACCTAACTTCAGGCCACCCTGGGGACCAAGACGGTGGGGGTAGGTGAGAGCCTGGAGCGAGGACAGAGCGGTGTCAAAGTTTTCCAATATCTGTAGGAGCAGGAATTGTAAGGGACTGTGCCACCTACCAGGACAGAACCTTCCCCAATTACAGGGTGACTCACTGCCGCATTTGGTGACTCACTTCAATGTGTCACTTCCGGCTGCTGTGTGAGAGCAGGGGGACACGTGAGGGCGGCAGGGTGGGGGATGAAAGCAGCAGTGAGCTCGGACCCAACCACCTGGGTGAGACCCTCCTGCAAACCCGAGTGAGGGGCACGATGGCACGTGACTGTGAAGCGCACGCCCGCCGACGGGAGCCTCGCCGTCCCCTCCAGGCTCCTCCTGAGAAACCCTCACCCCGTGCTTTCTCTCCCTGGTTTGTTTTCTTTTTCATGATGCACTGGACAGTGACAGCCACACGCAGCACCCACGGGAGTCCCTGAATGTTCAGTTTCCAGTGTTCTTGATACTGTGTTGAATAACGTGCTTTTTCACTTTTGATATATAAACGAGTAAAAATGTTCCCAAAAAATAATAACAATAAATTATAAATAATATGCCAAACAAAACAGTCCTGGTCTTTACTGTCTACATCCCACACGGTAGAAGATATCAAAATCCTGTTGGGAGGGCGAGCGTTTGGTGCCGTGGTTAAGACGCTGCTTGGGATG